GCTTAGAAATAGAAATTAAATGTAAAGATGGTAGCTTCTATGGAAAGAACTAATTATTAACATGTAATATCATTGAAAAATAATTTTCCTTATAATTGAATATGCAGTGATAGATTGCATAGACAAGTATTTTGAATTATATACGAATCATGAAGCTATTTTCAGTTTCTTATGTGACCTCCACAAGTTACAGAGTGTCAGAGGAAACATTAAAATGTTGTTGTATAAATACACATTTAAAATTAAATTTACCAACTATGAGTTACTACTACAAACCTGTTAGAGTGGCCAAAATCTGGAACAAAGATAACACCAAATGCCGCTGAGCATGTGGAACAGCAGGAAGTCTCATTCTTTACTCGTGGGAACACAAAATGGTACTGTCACTTTGGAAGTCAGTCTGACAGATTCCTACATGTAAACATACTCTTACTGTACGATCCAGCAATCGTGCTCTTGGTATTTACCTACAGGAGTTGCAAACTTATGTCCACACAAAACCCTGTAAGTGGATGTTTATAGCAGTTTTATTCAGAATTGCCAAAATTTGGAAGCAACCAACATGTCCTTCAATAGGTGAATGGATAAGTAAAGGGTGGTACATCCAAACAATGAGATATTATTCAGCACTTAATAGACATGAGCTATCAAGCCATGAAAAGACATGGAGGAAACTTAAGTGCATCGTATTAAGTGAAAGAAGCCAACCTGAAAAGACTACACAGTGTATGATTTCAATTATATGACTTTCTGGGAAGGGCAAACCTATGGAGAAAGTAAAAAGACCAAGGGTTGAGGGGAGTGGGAAGGATGGATAGACAGAACACAGAGGATTTGGGGGGCAGGATTTTGAGGGCAGTGAAACTACTCTGTATGATACCATGATGATGAGTACGTGTCATTATATATTGTGTAAACCCATAGGATGTAGAACACCAAGAGTGAATCATAACGTAAACTATGGACTTTGGGTGATTATGATGTGTCAATGTAGGTTCATTCATTGTCGGAAATGTACCACTTTTATGCGGAAGTGATATTGAGAGAGGTTATGCATGTTTAGGGACAGGAGGTATATTGGAAATCTCTGTACCTTCTTAATTTTGCTGTGAACCTAAAACGGGTGAAAAAAAAGTCTCTAAAAAATTAAATTCAGACTTACATGAAACTAATTTGATTGAAGAGTTAAAGTATCTTAGAAAAATGGTTCCACTAGAAATGTTACCTTGGGGCCAGCCCCGTGGCTGAGTGGTTAATTTCATGTGCTACATTTTGGTGGCCCACTGTTCGCCGGTTGGGATCCTGGGCATGGACCTACACATCACTCATCAGGCCATGCTGTGGCAGCATCTCACACAGAAGAACTAGAATGACTTACAGCTAGGATATAAAAACTATGTACTGGGACTTCGGGGAGAAAAAAGAAAGGAGGAAGATTGGCAACAGATGTTAGCTCAGGGCCAATCTTAGAAAACAAACAAACTACCTAATGGCACCTTTTCCTTGCTTTTTGAATATGGGATCCCAAATTTTCATTTTGCACTGGATCTCACAAATTGTGTAGCCAGCCCTGGATGAGAATCTTCAACCCAAAGCTAACTTGCAAGGAGGAAACCAGGAGCCAGAAAGGAATCAGACTGTTTGACAAAATACTTCTTGTTTTACACATTAGGAAGCTCATTCACCTCCCTCGGGTTCTACAAGTTGCTGAGTTTTTTGTCTTACAGGAAAGATATGATATATTAAAGATATAAATAGAAAAAATAAGTCTCCAGAAGAGTATCCTGTTTACCGGTGACTCAGCTACAGAGTCCACCCCCATTGCACTGCCTGTGGTATTTTCACACTCAGTGAGTAAAATCCCATTTTATTCCATTTTACTGTGGATTTAAGCTCTCCTTAACCCATCATTGATCTTATAGGATAAATGAAAACCTGATAAGAAATCGTGCTGAGAACTCCGTCTCTGCTTCTGAAGAAGCCCCAGGGTTGGTTAGGGGCAACCTCAGACCCTTAGATTGCACGTGTATGTGAAAATTGTCCTGGAGTTCTATAGTACAGGAATTTCTCCCTACTCTTACACCACTCCACATTGCACACAACCAGTCCTCAATAAATATTTGCTTTTTTAGAAGCATAAAAGAATTTTAGAGCTAGAAGTGCCCTTAGAAATCCTTTATTCCAACTTCATTTTACAAAGACAGAAACTATATACAAGACGACAGTCTGAAACAAATAGGTAGAAAGTGAGCTGGATTTCGTGACTTCCTCTTTAGCATTTTTTCCTCTGCTTCCTTCCTGTAGGACCATATTGTTGAGTTAAGGGAAACTGTCTAAAGCAAGCCTAGCCGTTTGATCTCTGCAATTTTAGGTCTGGGAAAGCCATTGTCCGTTTAGTTTGAGCACAGAAATGCAGAATTTGAGTTTGTGTAAACTTTTGGCACTTCGGGCAGGAAAGGAGGCTCAGGCAGAGCCGGCTATTCTACCAACAAGTCAGGCCATTGCTCACTGGCTTCTGCAGGAGTACGCCAAAGCTGACGGTGCCATCTCAACACCCAGAACAATTTCTAAGCACTGTCCTAAAAATTCATCATCCCAGGTAGGATGATGTCCCTTGGAGGCAGGATACGAGCACAATGAGCATAAGTCACACATTGTCAGCAAAAAGGATAACTGGAATCAAAAGGCTCATGCATCTGGAAGTCCACGAAGATACTAGATAAAGGTTTCTAGGTCATCCCTCTGACAATAAGTCAAGCAATATCCCATGAAATAATCCCAGAGTTGGGAATTTTGTCCAGATGATGTCTATACCTGGGCTATAGTTAATATATGGAACACTGCTCTTCATATGAATTGTCACATTCAGACTTTTACATTCAGTTCTGGATGCCATACCTCAAAAGGGCAAATATTGATGTAAAATATGTCTCCAAAAAGAGGGAAATTTGCACACAAAGAAGAGTTTGCGAATTCTTAGCCTATGAGGAATAACTGAGAGAATGGAAAATCCTCAGAATTGAGGTTTCGCATATGCAAAAACACACATTTTATATACGCACATGTATTTATATATTGAGTTGATATCCTTCACCACAGCTGTCACTACATCTTTAAGGTTTGAGATGTGGAAGAGAGATTAAATTTATTCTCTGTAATTTCAGAGGACCAGTGAGTACAAAGCACCAGAAAGGGGCTTTCAATTCTGGAAATGAAGTAGTCTTAGTTTGTCAGGGACCATCTCTCACGATCAGTTCTTTAGAGTCACTCACTATTTGTACTATCTGCCTAGTAGACACAGGAAATATTTAGGCTTCCCTAGATTTATTCTCACAGAGGTAATCAGAAGATTCCAAGAAATTAAAATGAATGAGAAAGGGTTTTTGACAGAGAGAGATAATTCTGGAAATTTACAGGACTGGAGGACATTATCATAGTCTTGGGGAAAGAACGTTGTAGCAGACTTTGGGAGAAAGATGGTACAGTATGGAATCTGAGCCGGCAATGGCCAAAGTGGCAGGAATTCATGCCAGGAGAGTTGGCTTATATGTTAGAGAAAATTCCACATAAGGATATGAGTTGGTCATTGCATCTAGGATAGGCCATCTATTTTTTAAAAACTGCTATCCTTTTCTTTATTTTCCCCAGCTTTTTTGAGATATAATTGACATATAACATTGTGTAAGTTTAAGGTGTATGATATAATAATCTGATACATGTATATATTGCAAAATGATTACAATGAATGGTTAATTAACATATCCTTCACCTCACATTATTACCATTTGTTGTTGTTGTTTAAGATTTACTCTCTTGGCAACTTTCAAATATAAAATACTGTATTGTCAGTTATAGTCACTATGATAGAGTATGGAATCTGAGCCAGCAGTGGCCAGGGAAGCAGGAATGCATGACAGGAGAGTTGGCTGATACTTTAGAAGGAATTCCACTAAGAATATGAGTCAGTAACTGCATTTTAGGGTATACCATCCATCCTGGTGTGAGAAAATGAAATCACCTCAGAATGAACTTACATGTGGTTACATTTTCTGAATCTGAGGCCTGATGTTTACTCAGAGTTTCAACTCTTATGTTGAATACTTTGCAGAATGTAAGACATATAGCGTTGGAATAGATTTCTTAAAGCGTGTGAGATTTCTCATTGCAAATAAACCCAGTCTATGGGTCAAAATGTTTCCTATAGTTGAAATATTAATAACTCGTGGAAGTTATCCCCCTGCTCCCATATACTTGAGATTTGATCCTTTATCTCTTATCATAATCGTCTTTACTGAAGGAAGTACACACGTTTTGACTGTGCGCCAATTCTCTGGGAATAGCAAAGTCATGGGTAAGATCAGCTTAGAGGAGCAGAGTCTGAGGTAGTAGGCATGTGAAATATCAAATGATATTCTCTCCCTTATTCTGAACTTTGGCTTACATATTCCTTTTGGAAAGAGTTTTTCTCCATAACAGATAAATGAGGATGGTGGATTTGGCTGAAAAGGAACATTTAATATTTTCTTTGTTTAAGAGAGTAAATCATGGCACTTTCCTGATTTCAAACGTGTAATCCCAGTCCATTGTTAAATAAACACCAAGAGTATCTACCTCTTTCCAAGTTATTACAATTACTCAGTAATGTGCAGAGATATAAATCTTGATCTCTACGTTCTTACTGTGCATTCAGTCTCTGGTCTAAGACCTAATTTTTTGGCTTGTTGCTGCCCTTATGCATCTGAGTCATTCACAGACACAGTAAACAATGAACATTTAACCAGCGAGTTCAGTAGTTAGAGCTGTGACCACAAGATGGTAGTGCACCTCTGCTGATGCAGAATATGTGGAGAGTTCATTTTCATGGATTCTGAATGAATAGGCTTATGGAAGAAGCTGAGTCTTTTTCTTATTGGCTGGGAGACAATGTGTGGTCTATGACGTTAGAGAAAAGAGGGGACAATCTGATAAAAGAAGTGGCTCTGCTGGCTAGAGATTTCAAGTGTATAATTGATCCTAATTGGGAGGGAAAATGAAGACGCCCATTCAAGCTTTATTTACGTTCTTGTGGCTGCAGCTGGAAAGTGAGTTGAGGGATTTGGGGAAACAGAGTATATTAGAGGATATTCTTTAGAAGTCCAGGAAGGAGACTGACTTTATTCAGGTTTCCTCTAGTTAGCATAGAAAAGGAAAAAAAAGTTCTGGAGTGTAATGACTTGGCAACTTTTCTGCTTTCTCTGACTTTTTCTCTCTGTATAGGGGTCAGCCAAGGAGAGAATGTGGACCAGCATCCTCCTTCCTTGAGCGTCCAGGAGGAAAAGAGTTGTGTTATCAACTGTACTTATTCAGACAGTTACTCAACCTACTTCTCTTGGTATAAGCAAGAACCTGGAAAAGGTCCCCAGCTCATTATAGACATTCTTTCAAATGTGGACAAAAAAGAAAACCCAAGACTCACTGTTTTATTGAATAAGACGGCCAAATATCTTTCCCTGCACATCGCGGCCACCCAACCTGGAGACTCAGCTGTCTACTTCTGTGCAGTGGGCACACATTGCTTCCCAGGCACCTGCAGTCTGTACTCAAACCTGCGACCGGGGCAGCCCCCTTTTTGTTGACATAGACCTTCAATTAGAGCATTTGTCATTTCATTTGTGTGCAAGTGGAAACTAATGTATTAGACATTAGTAGCATATAATATGAAGGTTAGGTTAGGTTCAAGATGACCCAGGAAGGGTTAGAACATTTTGTTGGATGACTGTTGCTTAATGGATTCTTGAAGGGAGTTAGTGATGTTTTATTTTGAAATTCAGACCTTGAAGATGACTTTTTATTTGCTATTCAAACCCTTCTCATATAAATAAATCCTTAGTAGCAATATCACATTCCTATTATGGACGAACTTTTAACTCTTTCTTTTGAAATTTGCATATGTTATTTTTTGCTGATTGTAAAACATTACATGCTAGATATAGAAAATATATAAAATATAAGAGTGTGAAATTGGTGATTTGCATGCAGGTAATTAATTGTAATATTTGCTGTGCTCTCTTCACAAATTCTAGTGTAATTAAGATTCTGATTTTTCCCACTTAATATCATATCTTGAATTGAGCAGTCCCAATTTCATTGCCTTCTCCTGTCATACCTGCTTTTTAATAGCTTTGTGAAAGATTTTCACAAGTCGCAATTATATTTTTATTTTCTTCCTCTCTATATTTTTGTGGCAAAATTTGTGCTTTGACCATTTTCTAGTTGAGCAAATATGATGTGGGTTTTCTTTTAGAGCCCAGTGGTATACATGTTATTTGTGTGATTGAGGGAAATTAAAATAAGAAATAATTTATTCAAGAATGTGAGTTTAGGATTAGACTCACAAACCTATTCTTCTTTCCCAAAATTTTGTTAACATATGTTCACATTAACTCTCACACAGTTGAGAAGGGAGAGTTGTGTCTTTTAGTCATGGTTACATAGCACACGCTTGCTAATAGGCTATATACTCAAAATTTCAATTTAAATTTTAATTTAAGCTTTGTGATTCAATTAAATTTGTAAGTTGGCTTGTGAAGAACAGACTCCTGAAAGTGTATATTTGGTTACTGAAGAACATACTATTTCTTTCCAATTATCTATGTCTTTCTCCATAAATCTCCATTGATTTATGATAATTAAATTTATTGCTTAATGTTTAATTTTTATTGTTACCTTTATGAGTGAAGTCTTGACCTCTGAGATACAGGGGAAAATTTTTAATATACATTTATCATTCACCTTACTCAACTCTTAACTGCAGAAGGCATTTGAATTAATGTTTATTTTAGAGACAATTTTTTACAAATTTTGCTGCCTCATTTTCATGTTTTCACTGATTTAAACATTACTTTCACAAGTTTATTTAAAAAATTAATTCTTTCAGTGTTGTAGATAAATCAAGGGAAGGAAAAAATTTGCATAAAAATTAATTCCCTCATTGTCCCACTCGTGGTCAAGGGTAGGCTATTTTCAAGATCCCTCATAGTTTTCCTCAGGATGGATACAATTGGCAATTGGTATGGTGAAGTGATACCTCTTGGCTCAGTTATGATAGTTATTTACCAGGTTTGTTCTTATAGGGAAAGTCATTAGGTTAAATTAGATTTTAAACATCTGAAGAAGAAAGGTCAGTATTGTAGCCCAACCCCTCCACCGGCTTTAGTTATTTTCTTCACTAAAACCAGTAGCTCCTGTTCGGTAGAAGCAAGCTGAGTCTTGATTGGTCTATTTCCTCAGAGATGATAATGGAGTGAGAGGGAAGCATGGCTTATATTTTTATCGGTTTATTCTTCTTACATCCAAGTTAGAAGAGAGAGGGTGCAATTACTGTTGGCTTAACTGTTTTATCAGACTTGGAAGAAAAAAAATTCTCTAGCCAGAGTGTGCAGAGTCGGTTCATAGTTATCTCAACCTAGACACATTCAAGCTTTCAACCTTCACCACAGTTTGTGTATTTGTTTCCTGTGCCTCTGACAGTTTACCACGAGCTTGGTGGCTTAAAACAGCAGAAGTTTTTTCTCTCCTGGTTCTGGAGGCCGGAAGTTGAAATCATTTTCACTGGGCTGACATCGGGGTGTCAGCAGGGCCGCAGCTGCTCCAGAGGCTCTAGGGGAGAATCTGTTCCTTGCCTCTTCCAGCTCCGGTGGGTGCCGGCCTTGCTTGGCTTGTGGCTGCATCATTCCAATCTTCATCTTCACGGTCTCATTGGCTTCTCTTCTACTAACAAATCTCTCTCTGCTTCCCTCTTAAAAGAACTCATGTGATTGCATTTAGGTCCATATAATCCTGGATTATCTCCCCATCTCAAGATCTTAACCACATCTTCAAAGTTTTTTTCCATGTAACATTCACAGATTCTAGGGATTAGCACCTCATTTTTTTTAGGCATTATTTTACCTTTCACAGTTTGTATGGCTGGTGCTTTTCTTTTCCACATTGAGAAAATATGTGTATTAGGAAGAATCTAGTCATGAAAACAGAAACTACATCAATTACTTTGTTTTATTTTCCTACTGTTCAAAATTTCTATTTAAAAAAAGTTATACAGGAAAATAGACTAAATTTGTGTACACTTATATCTGTGAATTTTGAATTTTAATATATAGTATATATTCATGTAACCATCATAGAATCATGATGGTAAAGAGTTTCATTGCTCCCCAAAACTCGCTTGTGTTATCATTTTGTAATTATATCCACTCTCATCCCTAACTCCATGAATCCTGGATTTGTTCTATTTTTATCTTTTTAAGGATGTCACGTGAATGGAACCACACAATAAAAGAACCTTTTGAGAAGGCTGCGTCTTTCTGAGTAGAAGCACATGCCGCTGAGCACATGCATGGTCTCCATCTCTGCCACCACTCTTAGTTTTATCAATGCCTGATGTTTCGAACCTTTAAGTCATTTCATAAGAATAATTCATCACTTGAAGTGTTTGAATTCCTTTGGAGATTTGATTTACAGTTCTTCAAAGAAACACTACGGCAATCGAGAATGGAGAGGTTCAGGGGAGTGTTGGACCAAGTCATACAATCAGGTTGAGACATGTTCTTTACAAAGTCTAGATACACCGAATCTATTCTAAATTTTTCTAACATTTTGAGACAGATTTTACTGATCAAAATTCACACTAGCTGTACTAACTGGGGTATGGATATTATTTGGCTTTTCTAGGAGTTATCGTTAAATAACATATCCAAAAAATCTTTAACTTGGTTGCACAAACAATGGGTTTGCTGAGCTGAATTATAGCATTATGGTGGTTATTACTTCAGGTAAAGCCAATACCTTGCCAGCTTATTTTATTAGTAAGAGAACAAAGTAGGGTAAATCAGAAATATATAACATTCTAGCATTAGTTGGAAAATACCACAGAAAGGATGAAAAACAAGAATGCAAAGGAGAGTGAACAATCAGTGGTTCCAAACATCTAGGAGAAGTCTCTTTTAACAGTATTGGATGGGGCTGTCTACTTTATGCCATTATATTCTTGGTTCAAGGCTGTTGGGTCAGCACTCATCTTCTGTGGACTGTCTACTTTTGACCATTCTCTGGAGAACCAACTTCAGTTTGCGATCTCTAATGTAAGTAACTATTCAAATCTTGTCACTTAAGGACGTGTGATGTACTTTGTCTGCTGAATTGGTAATAAATACCATCTAATAAGTTCATTTCCACAAGCTCATTGGCAGTCTTTCTCTGGGATTTTTTCAGAGCACTGAGTCACCCAGGTTAAGGTCATACATAAAGCCTGATTAAACGAGAGGCTAGAAAATCAACCTGTGGCTGTTGATGAAAAGATAGAGTACCATGGGTTTATTTATCTAATTCAGTTAATGAAAGATTGGAATATGTATGATTTGGAACATTCTGCATTACATGGGCCTATCAGTGACCAGTTCATACTGAGAAAACACATGACTTTGTAAGGGGAAGAATGCAGGGCTGTGAGAGCTAAGGCTAACAGTGCATTAGGCCAAAGGAGTTCAAGGGTGTCTTGTACAGTAACTAATTTCAGCTTCAATATTCCATTTGTTCTTTCTACTTTTTCAGAAGACAGAGGAGTGATAAGAAACATAAAGTTTCTGAGTGAGAGCAAAACTTTACATAACTTTCCCAGAGAAATTTGCTCCGCTAAATAGCGATAAATAGAAATGGAACAGGTAATAAACACAACATCTAGTTGATTTTGAACTCTTGTGAGTGCTGTTATTTTCTCGCAGGAGAGTGCTTCAACTCGTGTAGAAAATAAAATTCTATTACCAGTACATACATGAGGGAATGCAATTATGTAAGATCCTTTTGGAGATACTCAAATGTTATCTTAGGACAATATTTCATTTCATAGCCCACCTTTATAGTTTTATGGAATTTTTGTTGATTCCAAGAAAGGCATGAACTGGCCCCATTCTCTGCTATACTAGGAAAGTTTCCCCACCAGTGTTCGTTTATACTGCAGCCAACATACGCCTGCCATGATGCATCATCTCTGAGGATTTTAGCAAATGTTCATAGGAGATCATTTGGCTCCACTAGGCAACTTTCCTGGCTTTGACATATCATGTCCTCATGAATGAAACAAATCAATCATTTCTAGTGACTCTTTACAAAATTGAGGGCTAAATTTTTGCTGTATCTAAGATGGAATGATTGAACTTTTCCGTTGATTTGTCTTCATGTTCTCAAAGAGGTGCTTGCATTAGGACTTTATTCAGAAAGTCATGCTTAGCATGAAGATCTGCTCAAGCATTTGTCCCATTTCGAAAGTGTCTTTTATACTGTTAGACTTTGTTTTTATGACAAAAATTTCTTCGCATACCATGAAGACATCAAATAATTCATGTATTTTGTGTACATTTTTAATAGGAATAGATGAGATACCTAAGAGGGTTAAGAAAAGGTTAGATGGTTAAGAATCCTCGGTGTCTCCACAGTATTTGGAAACTGTGAACTACGTTAAAAGCATATTGATTGACACTGAATATAATATTTTGTAAATGGACGCGCCCAAGAGCAATCCACAGGTTCAGTCACTTGAAGTAATTTTACTTCTGCTAAGGGATAGGCTTTTATAAAGGAGTCTGGAGTAGTTATTCTATAGCCAGTCTGGTATCGAGTCTTTCAATTTTTGATATAAGATTATTAAAAAGCTTATTAATGCAGAAATTGGTATGAGAGTGTCCAAAAAATCTGTTCTAGACATGGACACTTCTTGAAAGACAGAAGTATAATCAGGAGAGTCCTTTGATTGTGAAATGTAGGGATTGAATAATATGAGAAGAAATGAATAATCTTTCGTGTTTACTCAGCCAACTGGTAGAAAAATGTTATGTTTTGAGAGTTATAGTCTATAACTTAGAGAGCAGAACAGTTTGTACAGGATTTAGTACCATCAGATTTAATGGAAATTCCACCGTAATATGTGAAGATACTTCAACCAGTTTAGCTGAGGCTGCCATTCCTTTGAAAAGGATGATAAGCTTTGGCTACTGTATTACAAAACAGGCAGTGATAGGCAATGGATCTTTGTTGTTCGCCATGTCGTTGAGTACTATCAGTAGGCAAGGCCTTAGTTTTAATATATATACAAAGAGAAAGTTTTATTACAATCAATGATCCTATGATCAGCTGTCCTATGGAGGTGCATGGTATCAACTAGGGTATATTCACTTCAGAGCTGGGCATCCAAAATATAGACACTTACTGTGGTTTATTTAGGGTCTCAAGTGAGGTAATGGGAAAAATATAAATTAGGTTGGATAACCTAATGGCCAGACTCATGTGTCTGTCCTGGCCTTTAGGAATAGTGCTGGGCTGTCAAAATTAAATAGAAAAGAAAAGGGGACCTTTTGCGACAGGACTCAGTGCCTGAGGGACTTCAGTCTAAACTCTTCAGCACAGAGTGACTAGACTTTCTGCTTTTGGCCCAAGACAGGCAACTGAACAGACATTGACAGTGAGCAAAAATATTGCTATAACAATAAGTAGATTGAAAGAGCTACAGTGATTAGTCCAAACAGTTTTGTGTTCTTATCATAAAGTGACTCATTTCTACGTTAGGTGAAACAACAGCATACATAGGTGTGAGCATATATGATTTTTACATCTAATGTTTCCATAATCCATTATACATAATATTTTAAAATAAATACCACTGACCCAGTTCCATCACTGTTACAATGACTGAATGTCACAGTTGATTGAATCTTCAAGATAAAATTTTACACGTTTATTTTCATACATAATTGTTTTCTAAATAAGAGTTATTACTTCGAATGGAAGTTTGGGTTGAGGAAGACTCCCAGCCAGTGCATAGAGAAGTTTGCTGTGATCCACACCAACTGGTTACACCAGGAAACCCCTGTTTCCTGTTCTGAGGCAGCAGCAGCACATACCCAGTAATTCTTCCCTAGCCCTGGCAGGCTCACCTCACAGAGCAGGACTCTGAAGTTGAAGAACAAGATATTTTCCTTCTAGTGGAAGACCTCAAACATGTTGCTTTCCAGCCTTCTGAAGATGGTCATGGCTTCAATGTGGCTAGGTAAGGATGGCCAGAGCGGGAATGTGCATACTCTATGTCCTAAGGACCGAGGGTACAGGCAATGTTCTTGTGGGTACCCTGGAAAGGAGGGGTAGCAGGGTGTAAAATAGAATTTCTTTGTCCCATATCATTTGTTTCCAAAACTTCTGATTCTATGATTTTTCCTTCAGGATCCAGCATTTGCCAGAAGGTAACTCAATCCCAACCAGCAATGTCAGTGCAGGAGATGGAGGCTGTGACCCTGAACTGCACCTATGACACCAGTTCTGGCACTTACAGTCTATTCTGGTACAAGCAGCCCAGCAGCGGGGCAATGATTTTCCTTATTCGTCAGGACTCTTACCAGCAAAATGCCACAGAAGGTCGCTATTCATTGAATTTCCAGAAGGCAAAAAAATCCATCAACCTTGTCATCTCAGCTGCACAGCTGGAGGACTCTGCAGTGTATTTCTGTGCACTGATTGAGCCCACAGTGAGAGATGTGTTGGAGGGAGGAGTGCAGAAACCCCAGGGCTCTGCTTGATGCATGCACCTGCTGTAGGGACCAAGGTGAGAAATTGTCATCACAGACAGGAAGCGGCTAGGGCTGTGCCAGCACAGGCGTAGGGTTAGAGAGAAAACACTCACTCTAAGAAAATACTTTTCTAGGTTCGTAGACTCTGTCCAGAGTTATCATTCATCAAAAATGTAGGTATCCCTGAATTGAAAGTAGACAAACAGAATTTGACCAAGGGTTGAAAAAAAGGAACCACCCCACAGAATCTTTGACATTTGGTGATTAGATTGAGCTAGAAGAATTGGCTAAGGAAGTTCAGAATCATATGACAGAAAAACCAGGAAAAATACCAGTGAATGTTGGCCTTTCAGATAAATCTGCTCAATAAATATTTATTGAGTGTGTATTAGGTAGGGGAGGAAAAATTCTCCTTTACCCTCTTTGGGTCCAGGGCTGGGCCTAAGAATTAAATTGACAAAGAAACAATAATTCTGTGAAGAACTGACAAGACAAGGCCAGTGGTCATCCCAAGAGGGCCGGCAGTCCTCAGCTTCCATAAGAACTAGTTTAACAAGGTTTGTTTGCAGATTCTCTGGGGCCATCTCTGGGCTGATAGGAGTCTCTCTCTAATAAAAGGAGAATTTATTTCCTGCTGTTAGGCAGAAAAGAGGGAGCCTTTTCTGTGTTTACTGCTTCTTATTTGCCCTCATCTCAAAATAATTCTTATGTCTGAGAGGTATATTTTGGGGTGACATATTCTGGTTTCCTTCAATTATGTTACAACCATTGTTTTCAATAAGGAAAACCAAGAAATCTCTCCGTATGTTTCCTCTTTTTGTATATCAAGCTGTTTTTCACTGTTTAATGATTTAATTTAATTTAGATTTGTTTGCTGTGAGTCAGTGGTACTCATATTTACTTTCTAAGGTGCCTAATATGTGACAAACTTTGTGCTAAGAGCTAATTCCACCTTATTAACACCTCCAGCATGAAAGAGCTCGATTTCTATACTGGAAGTTTACCTCCCTCCCACTAGTCTTATCCATAAAATGATCAATAACTAGTGGGTCTTAGAGGGACAAGAGGGGAATCTCCCTGACAGAGACACAAACCTCTTTATTTGTACATGAATAAGGCATCCTTTTCTCCTAAAGTGAATAACCATTATTGTACTATATTAAATTCCTCTTTTCATTATAATATATTTCCACATGCTTTATTTTGTTCCATTGATTTATTTGGCTCATTCTATACCAACCTGAGACAGTCGTTTAAAATCTTGTTACCTGTGAGACTAAATCACTGATCACTATTACTGTTTCAGGGGTAATTTCAGGGGTAATTTTTACACATTTACTTTTCCTTATAAACGTTAAAAATTCTGTCTCCTTTTACTTATATTCAATATCCCTCCATTAAAAGAAACAGAGAAACAAAACAAAAAGTATTTGAAAAGTTGGCATTGCATTTAATAACTGTATTAAGATTTAAAATATCCGTTCTATGTTTTTAATTCAGGAAAATACATGTTTCTCTATTTATACAGGACTTTTAATTTTTTCATTGTATTTTGAAGTTTCTTACCTTTTCTTCAAATGAATTTCTCTCTCTATATATTTCTACATATTCATCTCTATATACACTTTTTTTTTGAGGAAGATTAGCTTGAGCTAACATCTGCTGCCAGTCCTCCTCTTTTTGCAGAGGAAGACTGGCCCTGAGCTCACATCCATGTCCATCTTCCTCTGCTTTCTATGTGGGATGCCTGCCACAGCATGGCTTGCCAAGTGGTGCCCTGTCTGCACCCGGGAACAGAACGGGCGAACCCCAGGCCTCCGAAGTGGAACTTGAGAACTTAACCGCTGGGCCACCAGGCCCGCCCTGTGTATACATTTTTAATTAAACTTTCTATTTATAGTATTCATTTTTGCTAGTGTTCCAAGTGCAAAGAAAGGATATTTCAAAAATCACCAAGGGGCCGGCCTGGTGGTGTAGTGGTTAAGTTTGTGTGCTCTGCTTCGGTGGCCTGGGGTTCACAGGTTCCGATCCCAGGAGTGGACCTTGCAGCGCTCATCAAGCCATGCTGTTACAGCACCCCACATATAATAGAGGAAGACTGGCACAGATGTTAGCTCAGCAACAACCTTCCTTAAGCAAAAAGAGGAAGATTGGGAACAGATGTTATCTCAGGGATGATCTTCCTCACCAAAAATATCCCCCCAAAACAAAAAATCACCTTGATGATATAGCTAAGAGTTTCTAATTTTCAAAGTACAGACACTCGGAATGTATTCTTACCATAGAGACTATAGATTTTATTTTACAGAGCTAGCCTAACCTTGATCCAACACCTACAAAAGATGGCCCAATAAATGCAAATATTTAAATTAAGAAGTTAAAAAATAGAAAGCAGTGTATTAACAGAGTAAGGCAGCTTTATTTTTTAATAAAAGTTATTTATTCATATATATATATCCATTTATTCAGAAAAAGTCTGTGAATGTGCACTGTGTGACAAACTTTCTGCCAAAAGCTCATTCTATTTATGGCCTTATTAACACCTTTAGCATGGAAGAACTCAATTTTTTTTATTGCAGTAACATTTGATTATAACATTATATAACTTTCAAATGTACATCACAATATATTTCGAATTCTGTGTAGATTACATCATTTTCACCACCCAAAAACTAATTATAGTCCATCACCACACGTGTGAGCCTAATCACCCCTTTTGCCCTCCCCCTTTCCCCCTTCCCCTATGGTAACTACCAATCCAATCTCTGTTGCTATGTATTTATTTGTTGTTTTTCTCTTCTACTTATGAGTGAGAACATATGGTGTTTGACTTTCTCCCTCTGACTTATTTCACTTAGCACAATACCCTCAAGGTCCATCCATGTTGTCACAAATGGCCAGATTTCATCATTTTTTATGGCTGAGTAGTATTCCATTATGCATATATACCATATCTTCTTTAGCCATTTGTCCCTTGATGGGCACCTAGGTTGCTTTCAAGTCTTGGCTATTGTGAATAATGATGCAATGAACATAAGAATGCATGTACCTTTATGCATTTGTGTTTTCAAGTTGGAAGAACTTAATTTTTATAACATAGGTTTATCTGCCTCCTACCAGTCCTATCCATAAGATGAACAACAATTAGTGACTATAAGAGGAATATTGTGAAGGGGAGAAGTGTGGATTCTTTCTTTTCTCTGCTCTGATTTTTCACTTCACTCCTCCAAAAGCGTTTAATACCATCTTGTGACTATTTTGTACATCCCAGGCCCGCTACGTCAAATCAACGTTCCACAATCCAAAACCCTCATTCTCTCCTATTTCCTCCTTCCACCTCTAACCCCGTGTTCTCAGTGTCCTAAAGTCTGAATGGCAATGGCTGGTTTATTAGTTATCTTCTATAATCTCCTCTTATGTTTTCATTTGGAAAGCAGATGTGTATAGTAGAAATCATAAAGAGAAGCATCTTTTTAAAAACCTTTAAAATCATCTTTAATTTTGGTACACATAACATCAAACTTACCATTTTAACCATTTTTAAGGTGAAAGTTCAGTGGTATGAAGTACGTTCACATTATTGTAAAATCATTACCACTGTCCATCTCCAGAACTCTTTAAATCTTGCAAAACTGAAATGCTGCACCCATTGAATAATAAGTCCCCATGACTCCTTTCCCCTGAGCCCCTGGCAACCACCATTCTCCTTTCTGTCTCTAGGATTTGACTGCTCCAGGTGTCTCATATAAGTGGAATCATACAGCATTTGTCTTTTTGTGACTGACATTTCATTTAGCATAACATTTTCAAGGTTCATCCATGGTGTACCAAGTTGTCACAATACCTTTCCTTTTTAAAGTCGAATAATATTCCATTGTATATAATACCATATTTTGTTTATCCATTCATCTACTGATGGATACTTGAGTTGCTTTCACCTTTTGGCTATTGTGAATAATGCTTCTATGAACATGGGTGTACAAATATCTCAATATTTCAAGTATATATCCAAATTCCTTCAATTTTGGGGGGTCTATACACAGAAATGGAATTGCTGAATTACATGGCAATTCTATCTTTAATTTTTTGAGGAGTCTCCATACTGTTTTCCAGAGTGTCTTCCATTTAACTTCTCACCAACAGTGCAAAAAGGTTTCAATTTCTCCACATCTTTGTCATCACTTGTTATTTTCTGTTATTTTGATAGTAGCCATCTTAATGGTTTGAAGTGGTACCACCTTTTGGTTTTTATTTGCATTTCCCTAATTATTAGTGAGGTTTAGCAACTTTCCCTGTGCTTATTGGCCATTTGTGTGTCCTAGGAAGAATGGTTATTCAGGTCCTTTATCCATTTTCAAATTGAGTTGTTTGGTTTTTTGTTGTTGAGTTGTGAGAGTTCTTTCTATATTCTGGACATTAATCTCTTATCAGATATAAGATTTGCAAATATTTTCTCCCATTCTGTAGGTGGTCTTTTCATTCTTTTGATTGTATCCTTTGATGCATAGAAGTTTTAAATTTTGATATAGTCTAATTTATCTATTTTTTTTCTTTTGTAACCTCTGCTTTTGGAGTCATATCCACAAAAGTATTGTGAAATACACTGTCATGAAGATTTTCCTCCATGTTATCTTCTAAGAGTTTTTTGGTTTTGGCTTTATGTTTAGGTCTTTTATCTATTTTGAGTTGATTTTTGTATATAGTATGAAATAAGAGTCCAACTTCATTCTTTCGATGTAAATTTCGTTTTCCTGACACTAGTTGATGAAAAGACTTTCCTTTCACCATTCAATGGGCTTGGAACACTGTTAAAATTAATCTGATCACTTATTTCTCAGCTCTCTATTCTATTCTATTGGTCTAGATATTTGTCTTTATGCCAACACCATGGTGTTTTGATTACTGTAGGTCTGTGAAAAGTTTTGCAATCAAAAAGTGTAAGACTCCAACTTTATTCTTCTTTTTCAAAATTTTTTTAGTGATTTGTGCTTCCTGGAGATGCCACAGGA